CCGATGAGTTTAATCACACTTCTCCAAAACTTAATTACCTGTCGAGTAGAAACAGGTTCAGATGATTCACCATCTTTACTGGTATCCATTCGCGAACCCTAAATGAAAAAAATAAGATATATTTTGATTAATTACAACAAAATCAAATTATAGTAATTGAAAAACATTTTTTTTTCCTATGATATAAATAATTTCTTTATAGACTGTTCCAGCATCCGAAGCAATTGCTGCTGCAATAGCAAAGAACAGTGATACATCAAATTCATTAAAACTCAATGGTGAACAATATCTGAACGGTGCTAAACTTTATACACGTTTTGTTTTGTCTAAAAAAAAACGGTGCTCATATTTTTTTCAAGTGGATTTCGATTTATTTAAAAGTATACATGTAATTTTTTTTTTGTTTTCAAAGTTTATTGTTATTTAATCTTTTTCTATGTATATATTACATTGATTTGTTATTGTAGTAAATAGATAGATTAAATAGTGATGCATTTTCTTTTTCTATCGATAGAGATATGAAGAATTTTCATATGGTTTCGTTTTGTTTCTGGAACTATTTTGCTAATAAAAACAAAATAACTAAACAAATTTAATTTGATTATGATTATGCATGCTTTTCTTTCAGAAGAAAAAAATAGACAATGGCTTCATCTCGTTTATTTAATAATATTGGTAAGATATTGAGATAATATTTGGGTGTGGGTGTAGACCTTCTCCTTAGTCACACTCACACTCACATCCATGTAATAGAAGTCTACTTCTCTTCGCTAGCCGACACTTGCTCATACAATAATTGTGATCAACACATATTCATTTGTTGCAGTCATTCTCGACGAACACTGTGTTTCGAACATTTTTTTTTGTGCTTATCACTTTCATTGATCCCATATGAAACATATATTTTCAAATAAAAAAAACATGAACTATCAAGTATAAAGACTGTCACATACTAAAAATATGCAAGTCAGGACGGCTTGAAGTTCGGAATGTATCAACTTTACTCTCATAAGATTATTGACATTTTTCGGAATATACTTTGCAAATAATTTAATTGTTCATTGATCTCATCAATAATATATGCAAAATCAGGCATAGCTATACATTTTTTGATCTATTTTACTAGAGTTGATAGTCAAAAGTGACGAAATCAATGGTTATATATAGCTCTGTCGGATTGCAATATGGTTAAAATTTCAATGTTTCCTATATGATTTTTCATAATTATCCTACCTGTTTTTCTAGTTTCTAGCTGCGTCGGGAAAAATGCTTTATGCCACTAGAATCAGCTCGTCGAGTTCTACAAACTGGGATATCTTCCATTCGAAACGGCGATTCACACTTGGGGACCTTCCCTCGTCAGTTGAAAAGTGATTTCACCTTCGAAAAGGTTTCCTCATCACCGAGATCAGAGTGATTGGGTGCCATGAAAAGAAGCATTGCGTGGACAACCTTCAAAAGCAGGGAAATGGTGAACTAATTTCAGAAGTAGCGGATGTCAAACCCCTGCTTTGAGCAAAACTTATTAATATCGAAGAATCTGTGGTTCTATATTAGTTCCTCAACCAATCGGTTCTCAGCAAGTTTGTGCTTTACTCCAGTACGATCAAACCATATTGTTGTTCGAGTCAATCAAGGATTAGAAAGAGTTCTCTCTTAGATGATTCAGATAAAATTCTGCTAAGCCTGTATCGAAGTAGAGAAAATCTTGTCGAAATCAGATTGATTGAAGAATTAACGTAGAAACATAGATTCTTCTACATCAGCAAGCTTTGATCGAAGTTTTCGAAAATTGTAACTAACATAAAATGAGATTTACTTTACGAAATCTTTACTTATCGCATAACTTCCCTTTCCTAAAGGAGCACGTAACTAGTAACTATTCAACAATCCTTATATTCTCCAATTTTTGTCACACTCCTAATATACTTTAATGGTAGAAATGGTGTAGAAATTTGTTTTATGAAGTAAAATAAGTATATTCAAATGTTATTTTAGGCAGAAAAAACCTCCTGCATGTTCATGCATGTCTGCTACACGTGCTTCGTTTTTTCGCCTATCGTAATATTGCCTCGCATGGACATACGAAAGTTCATTGGAAAATATTTGTATGTTCTCACATAGACATAAACCAATATTATTGATCCATCGGTATTGACATTAGCTATCATTCACATAACAATTTTTCTTGACAATCACATTTGTCGCATAGTTTTGTGAAAAATTAACATATTCAGCACTGTTATAGTGATGTCAAATGAAACACATTTTTACACATTCGAATTTTTAAACTAAGCGATCTATTTGATGAAAAAGCAACAATTCTATACTTCAAGATTCATTAAGAGATGTCCATGATAATTTCTGAGCTGCAAATATCTTTATTGTCTTCAAAATAAAGGCTCATATTATTATGAGTTTTTTTTTATATCTACTAAAAAGAAATACTTTTGAATTTATCTTTCAAAAATCAAGTAACTTTATCATATATTATTAATATACGTTCCAGAATAAATCTCATCTCTAATACGAGTAATGCCACTGTTTAATTAAATGATTATTCACAATAATTATTATAAAAGATGCATTTTTCAATGACAAAATATTGAACGTTTAATTACAATTAAGAAAGTAAATCAGTCAACACACTTTAAGTCTCATTAAAAACAATAGATATTAACAAGTTAATGCTTAACGCAGTAAAATCAGCTCAAAAGAAAAACTCGTTTTTCAACTTAAATTTTCACATTTTAACATACTCAGCATTTTGAATGCATTAATATTTGTAAAAACTGATAAAAATGTGTATAGACGCGTCGGAGATATTGTTAAAACGGCGTCATAACGAATCGTTATCGCGTTTTTTTTTTATAGAGATTTTGTCTGCCTGGGTGGTGTTATGTTATATTGTCTTTCATCTCTCTTTGATCTTTAATTAGTCTATCTTGTTTTTTTCGTTCTTTATATATATATTTGTCTATGTCATATATTACAGTAATTAGTCGTTTTCATCTCTTATAAAATAAAGATCGCGTTTGCAAGTGTACATCGAGGCG